TACCTAAAAATAAAAATTTGAAAAAGGAAGGAACACACACACACACACACACACACACACACACACACACTCTCTCTCTCTCTCTCTCTCTCTCTCTCTCTCTCTTTCTCTCTGTGGTTCAGTGGCTGACAGACGACAGAGAGCTTTAGCCTCTATTATTTCCTGTTATTTTTAGTATTATGCTGATTTTACATATTAAATATATAAATTTATATTAATTTAAAGAATTTCTCAAGGAACTATCTGGATAGTATAATAATTAGCTGCTACTTGGATTCACAGTCAAAGTCTTCTTTACTTATCTAAGTTTTACCTGAGGGCCCTGACTTATTTTCCATGTATATTCTCTAAAATGATTCAAACTCACATTAATCAAATGCTACTAGAAAACCTTAACTTTTGTTCATGTTTCAGTTTATAAACATAGAAATGCTAACTGCTGCTTAAGTCCGCCTAGCTAAAGAAACAACAGCAGTTTAAAAACACATTAAAAACAATACAGAACAAATTTGACTTAGTAATTTTACCTTTTTTTTTTTTTTTTTAAAGACAGAGTCTAGCTCTGTCACCCAGGCTGGAGTGCAATAGTGGGGTCTCAGCTCACTGCAACCTCCACCTCCCGGGTTCAAGCCATTCTCCTGCCTCAGCCTCCCGAATAGCTGGGATTAAAGGCGCCTGCCACCAAGCCCAGCTAATTTTTTCTATTTTTAGTAGAGATGGGGTTTCACCATGTTGGCCAGCCTGATCTCAAACTCCTGACCTTGTGATCTACCTGTCTCGGCCTCCCAAAGTGCTGGGATTATAGGCGTGAGCCACCACTTCCACCTTCTGGGTTCAAGCAATTCTCCTGCCTCAGACTCCTGAGAAGCTGGGATTATAGATGCACACCACCACGCCTGGCTAATTTTTCTATTTTTGGTAGAGAGATTTTAAAACTGGTCTTGAACTCCTGACCTCAGGTGATCCACGTGCCTTGGCCTTCCAAAGTGCTGAGACCACAGGTGTGAGCTACTGTGCCTTGCCAATAATTTGACTTTCTAAAACATGGGAAATTTAAATTCCAGTCTGATAACATCTGTAAAGTTATACTGCTAAGTCATCTTTGGTCTAAAGTGGGGAGAGAAATGGTTATGTTTTCTAAATCAAATTCATTCTAATTCACATAATTTTTTTTTTTTTTTTTTGAGATAGAGTCTTGGTCTGTCATCCAGGCTGCACTGCAACCTCCACCTTCCTGGTTCATGCAACTCTTCTGCGTCAGCCTCCTGGGTAGCTGAGACTATAGGTGTGCCATGCCCAGCTAATTTTTGCATTTTTAGTAGAAATTGGGTTTCACCCTATTGGTCAGACTGGTTTGAACTCCTGACCTTGTGATCCACCAACCTAGTCTCCCAAAGTGCTGGTATTATAGGCGTGACCCACTGTGCCCAGCTAATTTTCGTACTTTTAATAGAGACGGGGTTTCATCGTTTGGCCTCGATTTCCTGACCTCATTCATGATCCACCCACCTCGACCTCCCAAAGTGCTGGGATTACAGGTGTTTTTAACTCAAATTTTACTCACAGCCTAGTGATATTTTGATACAATTTTAATACAAATGCAAATCATAAACCAAATAACATTGCAACTCTGAAAAAGGTAATTCCTAACATCCCTCCTCAACCAAACTGGCTTGTAAAACACACACAGTTTCTAAAAGGTTTTATATCTATCCTACTTGGGTAGACTCTCCAGTTTTTAAATATAGTATATTTTATTTTTTATTTAGTTTTTAGGCTTTTTTTCTTTTTAAAAGATAGAGTTTCACTCTGTTGCCCAGGCAGGCTGGATTGCAGTGGCAGAATTTTGGCTCACTGCAACCTCCGCCTCCTGGGTTCAAGTAATTCTCCTGCCTCAGCCTCCCAAGTAGCTAGTATTACAGGTGCATGCCACCATGCCCAGCTAATTTTTGTATTTTTAATAGAGATAGGGTTTCACCATATTGGCCAGGCTAGTCTCCAACTCCTGACCTCACTTGATCTGCCTGCCTCAGCCTCTCAAAGTGCTGGGATTACAGGTGTGTGCCACTGTGCCTGGCCTAAATATAGTATACTTTCAACGTACACAAAGATAAATATCACCTCCTCGATCCACAAGAGCTTACCTGGACTACCTGTGTCTGCCATTTTGCATAAGCTGAGTTCGTAAATGCCAGTGACTCGATTCCTATTTGAAGAAAATAAAACAATTGCTTAATTTCTTATAGCACAACAACAGGAAAATCTCATCTGCTACTTAAAATAGTGTCTTCTCTGCAGGGACTGCAACCCATCCTCAAATATAATTACAGACATTTCCTTTCTTTCTTTTTTTTTTTAGATGTAGTCGCATTCTGTTGCCTAGGCTGGAGTCCAGTGGCATGATCTTGGTTCACTGCTACCTCCGAGTCCTGGGTTCAAGTAATTCTCCTGCCTCAGCTTCCTGAGTAGCTGGGATTATAGGCACATGCCACCACACCTGGCTAATTTTTATATTTTTAGTAAAGCTGGGGTTTCACCATGTTGGTGAGGCTGGTCTCAAACTCCTGATATCATGATCCACCCACTTTCCAAAGTGCTGGGATTACAGGTGTGAGCCACCATGCCAATCCAATTATAGGCATTTCTTATTTGTCACTGCTCTTTTCCCATTTTGAACTTAAGTGTTATACCTTTTCCTAGAGGAGCCTGCTTTTATCTCAATTTTATATATTTTTTAGAGATAGGGTTTCCCTGTGTCACCCAGGCTGGAGTGCAGTGGTACAATCATAGCTCACTGCAGATTCAAACTCTTGGATTCAAGTGATCCTCCTGTCTCAGCCTCCTGAGTAGTTGGGACTTGAGGCATACACCACCATTCCCAGCTAATTTTTAAATTTTTGTACAGACGACAGGGTCTCAATATGTTGCCCAGGTTGGTCTTGAACTCCTGGCCTCAAGTGATCCTTCCACCTTGGAACCTAAAGTGCTGAGATGGCTGAACGCAGTGGCTCAGGCCTGTAATCCCAGCACTTTGGGAGGCCAAGGCAGGTGGATTACGAGGTCAGGTATTCGAGACCAGCCTGGCGAACATAGTGAAACCCTGTCTCTACTAAAAATACAAAAAATTAGCTGGGCGTGGTGGTTCACGCCTGTAATCCCAGCACTTTGGGAGGCTGAGGCAGGTGGATCACCTGAGGTCAGCAGTTCAAGACAGTTTGGCCAACATGGTGAAAACCCGTCTCTACTAAAAATACAAAAATTAGCTGGGCGTGGTGGCATGTGCCTGTAATCCCAGTTATTCGAGAGGCTGAGGCGGGGGAATCGGTTGAACCCAGGAGGCAAAGGTTGCAGTTAGCCAAGATCACATCATTGCACTCCAGCCTGGGCAACAAGAATGAAACTCTATCTCAAAAAAAAAAAAAAAAAAAAAATTAGCCAAGTACGGTGGCATGTGCCTGTAGTCCCAGCTACTCTGATGGCTGAGGCAGGAGAATCACTTGAACCCGGGAGGTAGAGATTGTAGTAAACTGAGATTGTACCACTGCACTCTAGCCTGGGCAACAGAGGGAGACCCCATCTCAAAAAATAAAAAAAAAAAAGTGCTGAGATTACAGGCGTAAGCCACCACATGCCCTACCTCATCTCAGTCTTTTCAACGCTATTATTTTAATAGGGTGAATAAAACTGAATGATAGAGTACAAAATTTATAACTAAAAATTTATCTTTTCTTTTTTTTTTTGAGACGGAGTTTCGCTCTTGTTACCCAGGCTGGAGTGCAATGGCGCGATCTCGGCTCACCGCAACCTCCGCCTCCTGGGCTCAGGCAATTCTCCTGCCTCAGCCTTCTAAGTAGCTGGGATTACAGGCACGCACCACCATGCCCAGCTAACTTTTTGTATTTTTAGTAGAGACGGGGTTTCACCTTGTTGACCAGGATGGTCTCGATCTCTCGACCTCGTGATCCACCCGCCTCGGCCTCCCAAAGTGCTGGGATTACAGGCTTGAGCCACCGCGCCCGGCCAAAATTTATCTTTTCTTACTGTAAGAGAGAAAATATGAGGGAAAGAATGACTAGAATGAAATGATAATCAACAACTTCTGGGGACTGTGAATAGTAAGAGGTACAATACCTTCTTTTTTTTGACGGAGTCTCACTGTGTTGCCCAGGCTGGAGTGCAGTGATGTAATCTCGGCTCACTGCAATCTTCACCTGCCAGGTTCAAATTCTCTGCCTCAGCCTCCTGAGTAGCTGGGATTACAGGCACATGCCACCATGTTCGGCTAATTTTTATATTTTTAGTAGAGATCGGGTTTCACCATCTTGGCCAGGTTGGTCTTGAACTCCTGACCTTACGATCCACCCACCTCAACCTCCCAAGTGCTGGGATTACAGGCGTGAGCTACTGTGCTCAGCTCTTTTTTTAATTTTTGAGACGGAGTTTCAGGCCAGGAGTGGTGGCTCATGCCTGTAATCCAAGCACTTTGGAGGCCAAGGTGGGCAGATTGCCTGAGGTTGGGAGTTCAAGACCAGCCTGACCAATGTGGTGAAACCCCATCTTAAAAAAAAAAAAAAAGGAGTTTCACTCTTTTTGCCCAGGCTGGAGTGCAATAATGCGATCTTGGCTCACTGCAACCTCTGCTTCTAGGGTTCAAGTGATTCTCCTGCCTCAGCCTCCTGCTTACAGGTGCATGCCACTACCCCCAGCTAGTTTTGTATTTTTAGTAGAGAAGGGGTTTCACCATGTTGGCCAGGCTGGTCTCAAACTCCTGACATCAGGTGATCCACCTGCCTTGGCCTCCCAAAGTGCTGGAATTACAGGTGTCAGCCACTGCGCCTAGCTGGAGGCATAATACCTTCTTTTGCATTAGTAATACTTATTACTATTATTATTATTATTATTATTTTTGAGACGGAGTTTCGCTCGTTACCCAGGCTGGAGTGCAATGGCGCGATCTCGGCTCACTGCAACCTTCCGCCTCCTGGGTTCAGGCAATTCTCCTGCCTCAGCCTCCTGAGTAGCTGGGATTACAGGCACGCGCCACCATGCCCAGCTAATTTTTTGTATTTTTAGTAGAGACGGGGTTTCACCATGTTGACCAGGATGGTCTCGAACTTTCGACCTTGTGATCCACCTGCCTCGGCCTCCCAAAGTGCTGGGATTACAGGCTTGAGCCACCACGCCTGGCCAACCTTATTTTATTTTTTAAGCTGGGTTGCGATACACAGGTATTCACTCTATCTTTCTTTCTTTCCTTCCTTCCTTCATTCATTTTGTAACAGGGTCTCACTGTGTCACCCAGCCTCCTGAGTAGCTGGGACCACAGGCGTGCGCCACCACATCTGCCTAATTTTTAAATTTTCTGTAGAGATGGGGTCTCACTATGCTGCCCAGGCTGATCTCAAACTCCTAGGCTCAAGCAATCCTCCATCCTCAGACTCCCAACGTGCTGGGATTACAGACATGAGACACTGTGCTTAGCCTTCATTATATTATTCTTGACATAGTCTGTATGCCTTAAATATGGGTAACTAGCTGGGTATGGTGGCTCATGTGTGTAATGCCAGCACTTTGGGAGGCTGAAGTGGGTGGATCACCTGAGGTTGGGAGTTTGAGACCAGCCTGACCAACATGGAGAAATTCCATCTCTACTAAAAATACAAAATTAGCTGGGCATGGTGGCACATGCCTGTAATCCCAGCTACTTGGGAGGCTGAAGCAGGAGAATTGTTTCAAACTGGGAGGCGGAGGTTGTGGTGAGCCAAGATCATGCCATTGGACTCCAGACTGGACAACAAGAGCAAAACTGCATCTCAAAAAAAAAAAAAATAAATAAATAAATGCAAAACAAATCTTAAAAAGAAGAAAATTCCAATGATAATCTGTTAGAAATAATAATGATGATATTTAAAAGGATATTTAGTCTTTGCAAAATTGTTTTAGAGGTATTCACAATGTAATATTCCCTCCTTCATTCATAATTCATCCATCCATTAACATTTTATTAAATGTCAGCATGCAAGTCAGTACATTCCAGGTGTCAGTTACCAAAATGGTTTATAAACGGTAAACTAACTGTGAGATAGTAAGCTGAGAATACTTAAGGACTGATGATTCTGTTGTACTGAAGAAACAAACTGGAAGTTAACTTGTGTCAAAAACTTACGAGTCTGGTGACTTTGAGTAGCCACTGCCAAAGAGGCTACGCAGAGAGCGGGGTGGTGAGATCTTGGCATCTCGAGAGTAGAAGACCATGCACACATCCTTGGTGATGACAGCTGGCTGGATACAATGATCGAGCTGAAAGCAGACAGAGTAGGTGTTGATGAAGGGCAAAGTACTGTGATCAGAGGCTATACACGAACTTAATTAAAAAGCTAGTCCCAGTTGTGGGAACTGAAGGATTTCAGCTCCACCAATTATTTCTACAGCCACCTAGTGGATAATATGTGCAAGAGTAGGTAGTACTCCTTACAGATGCATTTATTTTTATCTGAGGTGTTGTTTCCCTTGTTTGATAGGTGAGGAAACTGAGGCAAAGAGAGTTTCTCCAAGGACATACAGGAAGTAAGTGGAAGCACAGGGACTTGAACTCAAAAAGGCTGGCTCCTGGGTCTGGGCTGTTAACCACTATTATACTCTGTCCATAACTACAAAAACAAGAGGTAAAATTTTCTTAAAAATCACATTCTTCAAAGAATGGTGATTAGGCTGCTAAAGCTGAAGCTGGAATGAATGTCATGTAGTTTTTTTGAGTAAACAGAACCCAGGAATAGACTCTAATATAATCAGAAGTGTCAGCAAAATATAATAAAATAAAAAACTTAAGGATGTGGAGGAAGAAAGAGGACAAAACAAGTGGAATCTTTGCTGAGCACTTCCTGCTGTAACCTGCACACTGTTCAGGGCTGGATGTTCTCACCAACTGAAGTTCCAAGTCTCCTCACCTCTAGGTAGGCCGACAAGGTCATGTAGATCTTTTCTCCATAGGGAGTCACTCGGTTCAGAAGAAGGGAGTTATGTAGAGAGCTGTCCCATACAGCCTCAAAGCGGTAGAAGGTCCTGAAGTCAGAAAGACAAGAGGGAATCATCCAAAAGATGCTAAAGTCACCTCAGCCCAGGTACTGCCACTGTCAATCATCCTAAAGAACTCTATACCAACCGACACTTTCAATTTATCAAACTCTAATAAACAGAAAGGAACTCTTATTTCCTAGGAGGAAAAGACAAGTCCCCATTATCTTGTCCCCAACCCCACCCATGATTAAGGAATACTTAGTTGTGCCTTTTTTGTTTTTGAGACGAAATTTTGCTTTGTTGCCTACGCTGGAGTGCAGTGGTGTGATCTCGGATCATTGCAACCTCTGCTTCCCAGGTTCAAGTCATTCTCCTGCCTCAGCCTTCCAAGTATCTGGGATTACAGGCACACACCACCACATCTGACTAATTTTTGCATTTTTAGTAGAGACAGGGTTTCAGCATGTTGCTCAGACTGGTCTTGAACTCCCAACCTCAGGTGATCTGCCCACCTCAGTCTCCCAAAGCGTTAGAATTACAGGTATGAGCCACTGCACCTGGCCAGCTGTGCTTTCTTAAATTTTGTTTTGACAAGCCTGCCTCTGCTTACAAACATAAAAGTAGTGAGGTCAATCAAAGGGATTAAGATGAAATGGATAAGTGAATGTGGACAGAAATTGAAACAGGAAAGAAAGACTAAGTATGCTCCCTTGTTGGTTAATGATGACAGGAGGAAGTGAATGCTCAGTAATTTGTCAGCTTCAATCTTCACATCACAAGAGGGCTAAACATCAATCAATCCAGTGCTGCTGGGCTTCAGAAATGTCACAAATTTATCTGAGGGGATTAATGGTAGAAACTGGGTAGTAGAGTTTAAGTATAGAGATCCTTATTTTATTCATTTATTTTTGAGATGGAGTTTCACTCTGTCACCCAGGCTGGAGTGCAGTGGCGCAATCTTGGCTCACTGCAACCTCTGCCTCCTGGGTTCAAGCCATTCTCCTGCCTCAGCCTCCCGAGTAGCTGGGATTATAGGCACACACCATTACACCCAATTATTTTTTGTATTTTTAGCATAGATGGGGCTTCGTCATGTTGGCCAGGCTGGTCTTGAACTCCTGACCTCAAGCGATCCACCCACCTTGACCTCTCAAAGTGCTTAGATTATACGTGTGAGCCACCACTGAAGAGAGTCTTATTTAAAATAAAAGAAAAAAATTTTTTTTTTTGGAGACAGAGTTTCGCTCTTGTTGCCCACACTGGAGTGCAATGGTGCAATCTTGGCTCATTGCAACCTCCGCCTCCCAGGTACAAGTGATTCTCTTGTGTCAGCCTCCTGAGTAGCTGGGATTACAGGCATGTGTCACCACTGCCTCCCCTACCCACTGGCTAATTTTGTGTTTTTAGTAGAGACAGGCTTTCTCCATGTTGGTCAGGCTGGTCTCGAACTCCCGACTTCAGGTGATCCACCCACCTTGGCCTCCCAAAGTGCTGGGATTACAGGCATGAGACATTGCGCCCGGCTTTAAATTTAAGTTTTAGAGACAGGATCTTGCTCTGTTGCTCAGACTGGAGTGCACTGGTACAATTACAGCTCACTGCAGCCTCTAACTCCTGGGCTCAAGTGATCTTCCCACCTCAGCCTCCGGAGTAGCTGGGAGTACGGGCACAAGCCATCACACTTGGCTGAATTTTTTTTTTTCTGCAGAGGCAAGTTCTACATTGCCCAGGCAGGTCTCGAACTCTTGGGCTCAAGTAATCTTCCTACCCTGGCCTCCCAAAGTGCTAGTATTATAGGTGTGAGCCACTGCACCCAGCCAGTGGCAATTCTTGAGAAATGGTTGAAAGAAATACAACCAAGACTGGGGAGAAATGTCAATTTAATCAACCTGGCAATAGAATTTAGGGTTATAAACAGGGCTGAATCCCAAGACATATTTTCCTGTATGCCTCCTAAGGTGGTGAGAAGTAATTCCAAATGGATTTCTCAAGATGTTCTGAACAGCAGCAGCATAAGAGGAAAAACAGGTTTCAAGATGACTACTTTACAGGATATATTCCTTTGAATTTATTATTATTTGAGATGGAATCTCACTCCATCACCAGGCTGGAGTGCAGTGGCACGATCTTGGCTCACTGCAACCTCTGCCTCCCAGGTTCATGAATATCCTGCCTCAGTCTCCTGAGTAGGTGAGACTACAGATGTGCCCCACCACACCCAGATTATTTTTGTATTTTTAGGAAAGATGGGGTTTCACCATGTTGACCAGGATGGTCTTCATCTCTTGACCTCATGATCCGCCTGCCTTGACCTCCCAAAGTGGTGGGATTACAGGTGTAAGCCATGGCACCTGGCCTGAATTTATTATTTATGAACAATTAAAAGCCAACTTCTGGTCACTCATGGTAGCTCATACCTGTAATCCCAGCACTTTGGGAGATCAAAGTGGGAAGATCAGTTGAGGCCAGGAGTTTGAGGCCAGCTTGGGAAATACAGTGAGACCTCATTAAAAAAAAAAAAAAAAAAAAAAAAAATCAAATCAGCTGGGCATGGTGGCATGTGCCTGCAGTCCCAGCTATTTAGGAGGCTGACACGGGAGGACAGCTTGAGCCCAGGAATTCAAGGCTGCAGTGAGCTATGATCATCCTACTGCACTTTATTTTATTTATTTATTTATTTTTGAGATGGAATCTCACTCTGTTTCCCAGGCTGGAGTGCAGTGGCATGATCTCAGCTCACTGCAACCTCTGCCTCCTGGGTTCAAGTGATTCTCCTGCTTTAGCCTCCAGAGCAGCTGGGACTACAAGCGTGTCACCACACCCAGCTAAGTTTTGTATTTTTAGTAGAGTCAGGGTTTCACCAAGTTGACCAGGATGGTCTTGATCTCTTGACCTTGGGATTATAGGCGTGAGCCATCGTGCTCAGCTGCATGCATATACATATATATATATATATATATATATATATATATATATATATATATATAAACCATCTGCAGGTATAGCTACTACACTCTAGCCTGGGCAACAGAGCAAGAACCTGTCTCAAGAAAACAAAATAGAAACCAACTTCTTACATTATGGTCACATCTGATGAACTCTCTTGAGTTCATTAGGAGAATCTCTGAAATATAAACTAAATGGAGTCCAGATTAAGGTATAAAATCATTGTATCAGTAACATCAGTCAAATATATAAATATGTTTATGCATTTTTAACATTTTAGGTTATATTGCCATGTATCACTTCCTTCAATTTTCTTCCCTAAATGAGATCCAGAGATTTAATTTAAAAAAAAACAAAAACCAAACCAGGACTTTTTCTGTTCTAAAAGAAGAAAACAAACAGATAAAACAAGCAGTCCTGATAGGACAAAGATAAATGTTAAAAATAATATGTAAAATATTTCTTACAGACACAACTATCCAAATAGCCAAATTTGTCTCTATTACTGCACAGGACAAAACAGAGCAGAAAGCGAACCATTTTGCAAGGCTGCAACAGATGAAGCAATAAACCTCTCAAGCTTTTGACAGAGAGCAGACAAAGAGGGGAACAGAAAACAAAACCTGAGATTCTGAATGAAATGAAGGGCGAAACATTCTTCTTTGTAACGTAGAAGAGGAAAACTTGAAATGACGTAAGAATAAAACTGACAAGTTTCATAAATGGAGAAAATAATTTGAAACTTGAAAAATCACTGAAGAAGCTATGTGCTTCTTAGGGTACAGAACAGGAGCTACTCTATCCTAGGTACAGTAGGTTTACATGGGGAGGGAGCCACAACATTAAAACAGCCATCAAAGCAACATAAGACATAAAGCATTCTGATAAACTAGAACCTTTATGTGCAAAAAAGCAAACAGAAAATACCTAGGAATATCCTTATCAAGAAAGAGCCTGCAAAAACATAGAAAAGGCTTTTGTTAGTGCAGCAAAACAAAACAAAAGAAATAGAGTGAATCAGAAAAAATATATATATAAAAAAGACAAATTTGCTGATAAGCAAAGTGAATTCAAGTGGACAGACAATTAACAGAGAATTCCATGGAACACAATTTGATGGAGGACTTACAATGACATGGGTCCCTCTCCTGAGACTTTCAACTAAGGAAAATGCTGGACATAGATGGGAAAGTGGAGATCACCACCATCAATACCCCTTTTGGTAGTGACTTGGTATTGAGAATAATACGAAGTTGCTGCAGAGTTAAGGGAAAACCAAGTCAATTCATTAACATAAATGTAGGGCTGCCAAGAAAAGGAATAATGGTCCCTTGTCAACTATGTTCCACTATCAATATATTTTAAAAGCCCTCTAAGAAACACACTTTATGTACCCAAACTGGAGGTAAGTTCAATTTTAAACATTAAACCTTAGACAAACAGAACGAAAGTTCTTTTAACCAAACTCCATTTTGCCACTTACTAGTCATATTAACCTATGTTCGCCATAACCCTAAAATATACAGATTGATGCCTAGTTCTCCTTGAGCATTCTAAACTATAAAGATGTCTCATATGTCCAGACATTTCACTCCAAAGAGTTAAGCTGCATGCTTATCAAATGTCAGAAGTATCTGGTCCCAAATCTGTTTATGCCAGTTGCGTTTATTATTGTCTAACTTCATTAAACATTAGGCAAATCAATGAAATAAGAACACATAAATAATTTTTGTTTCTGTGAAAACTAAGTTGAATGTTTTCAAAAGGTCTGATGATGAGTTGTTTAAAAATAGTTGTTAAGGTTGGGCGAGATAAATGTAAAAGAAAGGGGAAAATGATAAAATGTTAATAAATGATACAAAGTTTAAAGGATTTTGAACTTAGATTTTCTTCATAGGTTTCTAATTCTTTTTTTTAATATTCCAACACAGCACAGGATCAACATTTCTAATTCTTGCTCCACCAAACTGAGAGTCACAGATGATAAATTATGGGTGTGGTTTTGCAAGGGAGACAATCAGAATTCCAGTAAATGAACTTCAAATTAAAGAACAATCCACCAGGCATGGTGGTGTGTGCCTACAGTCCCAGCTACTCGGGAGGCTGAGATGGGAGGATCACTTGAGCCCAGGAGTTCTCGGCCGCAGTGCGCTATGCCGATAGGTTGTCCGCACTAAGTTCGGCATTG